TCACACACTCCCAGCAACTATGGGTGCAGTGGGAGCCACTTACGTTCTCAGCAATACGTGCGGCACGCTGAGCAGAATGGTTCTTTTTCTGAGATAGAATTCACATGCCATAAAATTCACCACTTCCAAGTACATAAGTGGGTATTTCCCTCCAAACATGTATTTTGTTGTTGAGAATATACACCAATTCAACAGGTTCTACATGCCCAATTTAGTGACACTAATTCTGTTCTTCAAGTTGTAAACTATTCTCACCCTCCTTTTCTGAGCTGTTCCACCCTCATTAGCATAAATTCATTAACCGCTAAGGCTCCAATCTAATCTCGGGAGTTGCTGTTATGTGATCCCGTACAGCTAGCTCTTAAAAGAGCAAATGCTCCAGCAGACATTTTCACTTGTTAAACAAAACTACTGTTCAGTATTAAGTATTATGACTTGAGGGAATATTTTTGGTTGAAGGTTTAAAGATAATCTCAGGGCAACAATTTCAGGGGTTCATGGCTCCTTAGAGTCTGGAATTCATGAGAATTTGAAGTTCTGTTTTGCATCCCCCCCCGCCCCCATCACGTCTCATCAGGATTCGTCTATAGAATCTTTCATCAGTAATAGTAGCCGGGCACCATCCAGTTCTTCGGGTCTCATGAGCTCAATTAATTAGCCACACATTCCCTATCTGCCTCCGATTTCTGACCCTCCTTCCTCTGTGGCTCTCTCCAGGTGAACAGAGACCGACTGTTGTGCCTTAGATAGCCTCCTGCACGCTTCACGACCCGTCATTACACAACGAATGGGGAAAAAACCCCAACAAAACGGACCCACTGCCATCAAGTCCATTTTGATCCACATAAAATCTTTACGGGAGCAGACAGCCTCATCATTCTACTGTGGAAGAGCTGGTGGGTTTGAACCACCAACCTTATTATGGTTAGCAGTTAGGACTCCATGTTACTATGCCAATTAACTGGGATGTCCAATGAAGCCATTACCATAAACGTCCAAACCAAGGAACCAGATCTCATGAGGTGATGAAGAGTAACTCAGCAATGACTTTTTTCCATTGTACAAATCTCTATCACATAATTGCAGCCAATTCAAATTCTGATAGGTGTGAATTTCTTGGCAACATTACAATACTTGGCAGCACAACCCTACCCTTTTTTCCATCAAACTCCCCCACTCCCTCTCCTTCCTGCCTCAGGTAACCACTAATAAACATTGGGCTCTACATTTGCCTTTTCTTGTCTTTTTATGTAAGTGTGGGCATACAATATTTATTTCACTCAGCATAACGTCTTTGTGCTCCGTTGATTCTATAGCATGTATCAAGACTGGATTTCTCCTGCTGTTTCGTTCTATGGTGCACAGGGTCGCTATGAGTCGGAACTGACTTGAAAACATCTAGTAACTGGCTCCATGGCATACAACAACAACAACAACATGTACCACATTTTGCTTATCCATTCATATGCTGTTTGCACCTGTGACTGGTGCAGCACTGAACATTGTCTACAAGTCTTGAGTCCGCTTTCATATCTTTTGGGTATAATGTATTTAGGAGTGGAACTGCTGGGTAATATGGGAGTTCTAATTTTAGTTTTCTGAGGAACTGCCATATGGTTTGCCATGTGCCAAAATGGTTTCACATTGGTGCCACTTTGCATTCCTGCAAGCAATGGATAAGAGCATTCCCCATGTAACAGGATGAATTTTCACGTGTGTAGATGGCTATCAACCATCACCACTATGGAATTCCAGAGGGTTTTCATCAATCCCCAAAGAAATCAGCATGCCACAGCGATCAGCTCCCAGAAGTCCTCTCCTCCACCCCTTGAAGCCAGTCATCTACTTTCTGTCTCTGTGGATTTGCCTACTCTAGACCCTTCAAATCAACAGACTTAGACACTATGTGGCCTTTTGTGTCTACCTTCCTTCACTTAACACAGGTTTCTAAGGTTCATCCATGTTGTAGCAAGTACCATAGTTCATTCCTTTTAATGAATGGTTGGTACATAATTGTATATATTTTTAATTGTGGTAAAAATATGCACAATAAAACAACTGCCGATTCAGTAATTTCTACATGAATAATTCTGTGACATTTATTACATATTTTATGTTGTGCAATTATTCTCACTTTCCTTTTCCAAATGATTTTACCACAACTGGTTGGTTTTTGATAGATAATGTTCATTAAGTGCCTTCTTTGGGTTCAACATTGTATTGAATATTTTGTACACAATTTCTCTTTGATTTTCAAAGCAATCCCAATCCTATGGTTTTTACTATTACGGCCCTATTTTACAGCTGAGGAAACAAGCTTTGAGAGATGCAGTTACTAAGCCAGGCTGTCCAAATCCAGACCTGGTACTCTTAAATTACTAGCACCCTATATGAGCACTCTAGTCAGCCTAATCTTTGACACATTTTAACTAACACTGTTCTACAGATGGCTTAGCAGTCCCCTGGATTCCTATTCAAACAGCTCATGGAAAAATCAGCCAGGGAGCCTTAGAAAGGTCTCATCTGCACACGCAGCCCATACACACAGGAAGCACTGCGGAAGGCAGGGCCAGCCAGCTGCATGTGTATGTCCTAGCCTCAGCATACCTCGTTACCTCTCATGGCCTAGACCAGCTTTCCACTGGGTGAGGCTTTTCAGCTCCACCATGGACACCCACCTCAAGGGTCCACTCCCTATGCCCCGCAGGCCCTTGCTGGCCATTCAGCCCTTTGTTCCACCCGGGGCACTGTGGGGACCTGCACCACGTGCCTTCTGAATGAACACATCAGTAGACTGCTCCAGCTCTGTGTCTTCACCTGAAGTTAACTAGGTGGGGGTTGGGGTCACATGTTTCTAGTAACATTTGATCCAAAGTCCAATTCAGACTCCCATCATTCCTTTCCAATTAATCTACCTAAATCACAGTTTACCACATGCAGATCCAAGATATAAGCCTGAGTGAGTTACCAAATTCGTCTTCCATGGCCATGATAATCTCCACTTGGTCCAAACTGTCTAAGCCCAGGTCTTTCATAAAGTGGGAACTGACTGAGAGCTGCAAGAAAGGAACACCAGACAGAAAATGTCACCCATGAGAATATCTGCTTCCTGACTTAACGAACAGCACAGTATAGTACAACTTCGTCATTATAGAACGACCTTGAAAAAAACATACATATGTAGGTCATAACTAGCATTAAACATTCAACCTGTGCCACCATGGTCCTTGGTGTGCTTTGTATGTGAAGTCAGAGTGACTGGAAACTATACACCACGTGAGGGGCAGACTTCACGTTACATGCTGTAGGAAGCGCTTTGGTAATTGCTCTGAATGATGGCTGAGGGAGTCTGGTTTTCTTCTTGCTCCTTATTGGCAACTAAGACTCCACAGCAGTGGCGCTCCTCTCCCTCAGGAAGAGCGAAATGCTGGCGAACTGGAGGTAGTTTCAGATTACATGGTTTATTAAATCACCCTGCCTTTAATTTAGAACTCAAGATTACTAGGAAACATTCTTTGAAAACCCTTATCAAAAACTATCCACTCACAAAGCAGATTCAATTATTAAAGGAGAAATTCTTTACTATGAGGAAATTTTTTTTAAAAAGTGAAGTTGAAAACCAGAAAGGTGCAGAGCAGGGATACTACTACTAAACCAAAACCCATGGCCACTGAGTGGATTCCAACTCACGGAGCCCCTGCCGGACACAGTTATGATTAGTCCACAGGGTCGGTCCCCGGAAACAGACTGGCACACCTCTCTCTCGCAGAGTGGCTGGTGGGTTCGAACTGTCAACCTCTGGTTAGCAACTGAGCATTTTAACCACTGGCCCATTAGCGTTCCTTAATATATTACCACTTGTTTTGTGTTGTTTTTAATTGACGTTGTCAAGGATTTCATTTTACTTTGATTCACAATCAACAACCATGGAAGCAGCAGTCAAGAAATGAAACATACTGAATTGGGCAAATCTGCTGCAAAAGACCTCTTTAACATGTTAAGAATCAAAAATGTCATGTTTTCTAGAATAACTGTGTTTTGAAAAACCACCACCAATGAACTAGGTATTCATATTAAAACTTAATCCTGTTCCTTTAACTGATGTTATACTTCATTTTTTTTTTCTTTTTAAAGAAGCTTTTTATAAGTCAAGCCCAACCCAACATATTATATACATAATGAAAGTGATGTAACTCTGGTTTGAGGAATAAAAAAGCATAAATTGCTTTAAAAGAAAAAAAAAAAAAAAAAAAAAGCAAAGATGTCACCCTGGCAAATAAGGTGTGCCTGACCAAGCCCATTGTATTTTCAATCATGTCACATGCATTCAAAAGCTGGACAGTGAATAAGGAAGACCAAAGAATTGATGCATTTGAATTAAGGTATTGACAAAGAATGTTAAATATACCCTGGGCTGCCAGAAGAATGAACAAATCTGTCTTGGAAGAAGGTCAGTCAGACGTACAGTCCTTAGAAGGGATGGTGAAACTTCATCTGACATTCTTTGGGCATGTTATCAGGAGGGACCAATCCTTGGAGAAGGCCATCCTGTCTGGTACAGGGCCTCAAGGAGATGGACTGACATAGGGTTCCTAACAACACAGCAATGAGTGTGAGGATGGGACAGAAGGAGGCAGCCTGGGGTTCTGTTATACACAGGGTAGCTGGGGCTCAGACTGACCGGACTGGCTCTAACAATAGCAATGTGTATTTTTCAGAAAGGTGGGAGATGTGTGTGTCTATCACATATATATGATATGTTGTTGCTGTTAAGTGCCATCTAGTTGGTTCTGGCTCATAGCGACCCTGTATAGAGTTTCCAAGGAGCAACTGGTGAGCTTAAACTGGCAACCTTGTGGTTCAAACCAACTGTGCATTCCAGTGCATTAGCCCATAGTGCCACAGATAACATGTGTGTGTGTGTGTGTGTGTGTGTGTGTGTGTGTGTTTAAATATGCATTATTTGATGAAAGACATCAGAGATGTGGTGCTGGGCGCCAGGCACTCTTCACTGAAGACCCTTGGGTCTCTGCATTTTAGACCACACTAGTAAATGCCCCAGGAATGCTGGCAGCATAATGGGTATCACTCGGGCTGCTACCCGCAAGGTCAGCAGTTCTATTGACCAGCTGTTCCAAGGGAGAAAGAAGAGGCTTTCTGCTCCAGGGAAGATTTACAGCTGTGGAAACCCTCCACCGAGTCGTTATGAGTTGAAACCAACTTCCCAGCCCACCACAGCAGTAAATACTCATTCTTAAAACAAACAATAAAACATAACCACTACCAACTCCCCGGCACACCATCGCAGTAAATACTCATTCTTAGAACAACCAATAAAACGTAACCAGTGCCGATTACCTTCTCCGGGTCAATCTTATCATAGAGTTTCAGGACGTAGAGAACACGGTCCTTGATTCCCTCTAACGTCAAGGGGGGTGCTTCGCTATACTGGCGGTACAACTGTGGAACTCTCCCAGGAACCTAGAGCAAGGAAAGGAGGGAAACAGTGTCCTTGAACAGAGAACGTATACCCCAATAGCTAGCTTCCACTCAGCTGTTAGGGCTTTGGAGAACCCACATCATCCAATTCTAGGCTTGGCCATTAGGACACACTGAGGCACACTGCATTGTCACTGCCCTCACTGAGTTGTCTCAGAAGCCCGGGTAGCTCAGCCGTGTATGTAATAGACCCCCTTTTCCTCACAGCCAGACTGGCCCCTCAGATTCCTCTGTTCAGCCATCAGGCCTCCTGGACGTTTGCTCTGCTCAATGAGACAAACCACTACCATAATCTTCTAGCGTCTGCTGAAGAGCCTGTCTTGGCATGGCATCTTCAGCATCCCACTGCCTCTCCTGAAGCACCTGTAAGACAACCCGAGTCAGAATAACCCACAGGAAAGAGCTGTTATGAAGTGAAAGGCTTCACACGGAGGTCAAGAGTCAGGTCTAATTTGGCCTCAGAAGTAATTACACTGACCACAGGCAGAACAAATGACGCCAGCACACCAACCAAAGGAGAGCAGAAGAGAGCCCAAGAGTCCTTCTCCTGGACTGCCTTACTTCCTACCACCAATCAAGTCAGAAGCCTTTGTTAGGCCAGAGCAGTTATCTCTGAGCAGCCGCCTGCTTGACCTGGAACACTCACAGTGTAAGGAGGGCTTAATAATGACAGAGCAGTATCTCTGAGCAGCCTGCTCGACCTGGAACACTCACAGTGTAAGGAGGGTTTGATACTGTGGAAGGCACAAAAAAGAGAAAACAGTTGCCTGACAGTTTTGCTTACCATGGAATTCCCTAATGCATACTGGGTTGCCTTCTAGACTTGACTGAAGTCCACAGTATGGATTTAAGGCACTTCCCCACAGAAAGAGGCTTTGCTTGTTGGGCTCCAGCACCCCAAGACTCAAAATGGTCTACAAATCCTTGGAGCCAAACTAATATATAAAGGTAATTTAGAAAGCGTTGCTACGAGGGTTCCAGTTCATATGTACATAAGTTTATTCCAAACAAAACATGCTTAAACATGTCTCTAGTCAGTGGATGGCTGCAGGCAAATGTGCTCAGCAATACACTTGTCTTAGTCTCATTAGGGTGATGTCCAAAAAACAAAGCTGAAGAAAACGGTTTTTTTTATTTCTTTGATTGTGAACTGAGTGCAAGTTTACAGAGCAGAGCATGTTTTACATTCAACTAATCAGTTCCAGCTCAATGACTGCCACCCCCTCCATGTAGCAACAGGTATCCCACTCGCTCCCTGTGGTTCCTAGTTCCATGCCACCCTCCTTCCCAACCCTTCTGAACCTCTCCCCAGGTAAATGGTGCCTTTTTGACATGAATGGTTGACCAGACCATGGTGAGTGCAGACCTCACCAGTGTTGCTGGCCCCACCTTGAAAACAGGGTCACAAGGGTGAGTTCCATTCTCTACCTGAAGGATGTCTGAGGACAATGGTCTCAAGGTCCTCCCATCTCTTTCTGACCAGTAAGCCTGGTCTTCTTGTATAATTTTGAGTTTTGTTCTATATTGTTTCCCACTCTATTTAGAACCTTCCAGCGTGATCCCTTTTAGAGAAGTCGGTGGTGGGAACCGGGCACCATCTAGTTCTCGTGGTCTCAGGGTTGTGAGGTCCACTAGTCCAGTGGACTCAACTGATTCTAAGCCACTTCAATTTTCATCACACAGGGAGAGACCGATAGGTTCTCCCTAAATGGCTGCTCATGTGCTTTTAAGATCCCAGTAGCTACTCACCAAGGTAGGAATGTAGACCATTGTCTTTGTGAACTGTTAACGGTGTCCCTAAGACTGGTTCTGAGACCCCAGGTCTAGCAACTCACTGCCTCAAAGTGTTTGGTAATGTTTAAGAAATTTTCTTCATTTTGTCCTCTGTCTGCTCCCCAACATTCATAGGTGTGTTTGCAGCAAAGGTAAATAGCTGTGTACAGATAGCATCTGCCTAACCCTTATATATTTGTGGGTATACTCCCAGACCCATTCAGCCTGTATATCTGTCCATGTATCTACCTGTACAGCAATGTTGTTGAGTTGTATATAAAACAGTATTTACCTCTATCCCCTTTAACCCTTGCATTCTGTGTCTTCAACTGTCTTTATTGTTCTCTGCCAACCTTGTATATTGCTTTCCCCGTTTCTTTTAGCACAAAAGTCTTCAGTTTTTACAACAGTGGTGTCATACAATCTTTGTCTTTTTGTGACTGACTCATCTCACACAGCATACTGTCCCCAGGTTCTTCAGGAGGTAGTCACAGACGGAAGAAAACAATTTTGAGGTCAGAGTTAATATAAAAAGTTTAAGAAAACTCGAGTGGAAACACCTTCCCAAATCATTGACGCTTTGCAACAAGTTTGCAGAAATGCTGCTCAACATAAAATAACCGTTTTTAGATGAATCAAGGATTTTTAAGGAATGTTGGGAAGACCTCAAAGATGAGCCAAGAGACAGAAGACTCTCCAGAAACTATGGCTGAAGTCTAAACCAGTGGAAGACCACAAATTCCCAATGATGCAATAGCTACTGAAGCTGGCATTTCACATGGTTTGGCATTTTCAATTTTCAGTGAACTGAACATCTTGGCCTGAGCAAGCTTTCAACTCAACTGGTGGCAAAAGCATTGAGCAAAGAACTACTCTTTTCATCAGTTTATAAAGCAAATTTGAAGCTAAGGAAGGTGGTTTTATAGAACAAATTGTAACCTGGGGCAAGTCTTTGTTTTACTAATATGACCCAGAGAACAAGGTACAATCAACACAGTGGCTTCTCAGGGAATCTGCAGGGCCAATTAAATTCAAAGCAGAGGCCACTTCAAAAAATTATGGAGACTTTTTTGGATTCCCAAGGGAGTAATCTTGATTTTCTTGAAAGACACAACACAATCATGGGAGCTTAGTATGAAGAAGTTTTCAGAAAACTGAAAACTGTATTAGTGAGAAAAAGGCCGGGGAAGTTGAGCCGAGGAATTTTTTTCCCATCATGACAATGGACCTTCTCATTCTCTAAGGGTAGGAAGGGCTGTCCTACAGGAACTTTCCTGGGAAACCGTACCCCATCCCCCTCACAGCCCTGATCATTCCTGGGAAACCATACCCCATCCCCCTCACAGCCCTGATCTTTCCTGGGAAACCGTACCCCATCCACCTCACAGCCCTGATCATTCCTGGGAAACCGTACCCCATCCACCTCACAGCCCTGATCTTTCCTAGGAAACCGTACCCCATCCACCTCACAGCCCTGATCTTTCCTGGGAAACCGTACCCCATCCCCCTCACAGCCCTGATCTTTCTGCTTCAGACTTCTTTTGTTACCAGTTAACACTCATGGAAGCAGCACTCAAGAAATCAAATGATGTATTACATTAGGTAAATCTGCTGCAAAAGACCTCTTTAAAATGTTAAAGAGCAAAATGTTACTTTAAGGACTAAGGTGCACCTGACACAAGCCATGGTATTTTCAGTATCTTCATATGCATGTGCAAGTTGGACAGTGAATAAGGACCACAGGAATCTATGCCTTTGAATGATGGTGTTGGCGAAGAATACTGAAAGTACCATGGACTGCCAAAAGAGCAAACCAATCTGTTTTGGAAGAAGTGCAGCTATGCTTGAGAGCAAGGATGGCAACACTTCATCTCTCATTCTTTGGAAACGCTATCGTGAGGGACCAGTCCCCACAGAGGAACACCATGCCTGGCAAAGTAAAAGGTCAGCGGGAAAGAGGAAGCCGGACTGGCCCAGTGGCAGCAACAATGGACTCAAACATGACAATAAGTGTGAGGCTGGCGCAGGACTGGGCAACTTTGCATTCTGTTACACATGAATTAGGGGTCCTGGTGTGGTGCTGTAGGATAAGTACTGGGACGCCAAGGGTGGCGTGAACCACAGGGTCGGTGGTTCAAACTCACCAGCTGCTCCTCAGAAATCCTATAGAGGGTCACTATGAGTGGAAACCGATTTGACTGCACTTAACAACAACAACATACATGAAAAGACCATAGACGGAGCCTTCTTTGAAGCAAACACCACCAAGAGGATCACAATGATAAAGACCCACTGCTCTGAACCCTGGCTGCAGTATAGCCTGCAGGACTTGATCCCACCCCTTAATGCTGCCTCTTCAGACCTGTTTGTGGATTTCTTGTCATTAGCCAGACTACTGTACTGTCCTTAGCACTTCATGTGTGAAGGAGCTTCAAGAAGACTGTAGTTCCACAAAGTTTCTGCAGCTCCCAGCCCCCAAGTCTAACAATAGTCCTGAGAGATACAGTGTCCTATCGGCCCCATGTTATGGGTGAAACTGAGGCAGAGAAAAGCTAAGTGTCCTGCTCTGTGTCCCCCAACACAGTTGATTGGAAGGCCTGACTGCCTCCTTCCCGCTGGCCAGAGTAAACTCTCATTGCCCTACTGAGAACTTTAGCCTCCCAGGTTTCATCAGCCGCTTGTTTAAAAAGAAATGGGTAGAGAAGAATCAGCAAGTACCTTTGAAGAGTGTCCCCAAAGCCCAACATAATGGTTCTTCCCCAAGAACTGCACTGAAGAAGTTAAATGACAAATCACCTCCCAGGGACTTAAAGAGAGTTGTTAACAATTTGTTTCCAGCAGATTCCATCACTCCTCCACTGGGGACCATTCTGAGGAAGCTCAGAGGAATCTAAGGAAACGGCTTTAAAGGCCTCTTTATAAGGAGTCCTGCTGTGGCACTGTAGGATCAACACAGGACTGTGAACCACAAGGTCAACAGTTCAAACCCACCAGCTACTCCTTGGAAACCCTACACAGGGTCACCATCAGTCAGAACCAACTCAACAACACTTAGCAACAACAACGTAAGCTGTCCACTGGGCAGCCCTACCCATGCAGCACAGACATCTCAAACCCAGCTGTCTGGACTGGACTCCTTACCTGCCTCCAACACTTCTGCCTGCAGATTCCCATTCCCTCATTCTCTTCCCAGAAACTCGAACCACAAACCTTCCCACCTAAACCCTCTCTTCCCATTTTTCCCATCACATTTACCTGATCACACAGACTGGCTGGTAGAGAGGAAAAGTCTCAGTTATTCCTTCAACAAACATGTTCACTTTCTGTCATCTACAAAGAGGAAAACACTATTTCTCCATGACATATAGCACCCTTCACGATATGCTTGGTTTCCTACCTCAACTCCAAACGCTCCCATTCCATAGACACAAAGGACCAACCACAAGGAAGCAAATGTCAGCCTCTTCCTGGATCTCGGTACAAGCCATTCCAAGCCCCGACTGCTTGAGAACCTGCTGTTTTCGAGACCAGGCTCCCTGGGAGCTAGCTAGGTCCCTCTTGTTGCTTCTGCCCTGTCCACTCACTTGTTCTCACACATTTCAATGTCTTACCTGTATTGACTATCACCTGTACATTTTACCCCTATGCCAAGCATTACCTACACACCAGGCACTGCTACAGGCTGGAAATACAAAGATGAATACGACATGGCCTCCACTTAAGAGAAGTTTATAGTTTAATGGAAAAGACAGATTATTTTAATAAAATGTAACAGAAGTATTATTAAGCTGCTCTAGGAAGAAAATAGTTGTCACTCAATCCTTTAGAGGCGGGGAAGGGGATCTGGAGTCAGTAGGGCAAAGAATAAGGGCAATTATTCAAGGAGAGGGACGGGGAGGTCACTAAAAGGGAACAAGGCATGGGTGTCTATGTTTGTGAGAGGAGACAGCAGCTCTCTGCTACAGAATGGAGGGCAAGGGGGATGGGCACGGAGGCTGAAGAGAGCCAGAGCCCAGGTCTGCAGGCCTCAGAGGCCAGGACTCCGTCTTCCTGGGGAATGACATGGACAGACCTCACTGACTCCTTCACTGTTAGACACGTAATCTAGTTCTAGTCTCCGGAACAGTGGAGCTTTGCCTGCACAGCTGGTTTGCCTTCATCTGGGTACCATGCCTCACAGAACTATCTGAAACTGTTCTTCACATCTAGCTGCTAGCGAGTTTAGATTCAGGTCCCGCCTGGACCTAGTGTAACACTTCTAGGCTCCATTTTAGGCTGCGAGTCTTGCTTTTCTTCTTTTTTGCTTGTTGTTGTTACGTGCCGTGGAGTCGGTTCTGACTCATAGTGACTCTGTACAGGGTTTCTGAGGAGCAGCTGGTGGGGTTGTTTTTCTTACTGTCTGCTAATTTTTATCATTTTGTGTTTTTATACTTTTATATGCAGGAAAGATACCTTAGATCATTTTTAGGGGGAACAGAGTATAAGTGATAAATGAGCTTCATAGATGGATTTAAGACAGGGAAAACTGGCAGCAGGGAGTGGGTGGAACAAGCAGTACCCTAGAGAAGACTCCTAATGGCCGGAGGTAGACATCTGGGGTGGTTGGCATAATAGAAACTAAGTGTGGCTGACACTTAAGTGTGAGGTAGAGCAAGAGCCCAAGGAACAGGGTTGGTGCAGAGAGCTAGGGAAAAACAACCCGAGAATAGTGTCAGTTATGCAGGTGACAAAAAACAGAGCCCCAGCGATGAAGCTGGCATGTTCCACAAAATGACTGCAAAGTGTCTAATGAAGACACCAACTAGTCTGTCTTTCGTATTCATGTTGGTATCACTAAACAGCTAGCATAAGGCCCAGCAGGCACAGAGCTGTCTGTCCATTATCTCGGAATAAACAAGTATGTCTTCACTTCAATCCACAAAGGGTATACATATGATGATTAAATGGGAACAATTAGTAAAAAACCACTTTATAAAATTAAATGTTCATCTGATGTATGAGGGGGTTTCAAAAGTCCATGGAAAAATGGACTTAAAGATAATGGAATTTTTCCAAGAACTTTTTAAAGCCCCCTTGTGTAAATTAATGTATACAGTCAAGCCGAGTTAGTGGAACATATTCCAGCACCTACCCAAAATGTGGCTTGCTGCTCCAAGCGTGGTTCAGGGACCAGCAGCATCAGTACCTCTTGGGAACCCATTGCAAATTAATCCTTTCAGGCCCCCTTCCCAGACCTAGTAAATCAGGACCTGTAGTTTAACTCCCGTGACCTTTATGCACAACGCAGTTTGAGAATCACTGCTTTAAAAACAGGGACAATCACTGTGCATTTCAGTCCAATACTGAAATCAGTCTCAGAAACAAACACTCAGCAACTCTACCCACTGACCTTTTAGACCTTATTCCAGGTGAAATTAACTTTCCGATTCAACCACTAGGACAACACCAACACTCTGAAGGAATCCACTGCACCTCAAGTAAGCCTCCACACTAGCACAAAAAAAAATCACTTGCGGACTTTTAAAAAGGATGAGCAGACCTCGGCTCTACGGAGACTGGCAGAATTGGCCCGGACATCCTATTTTTCATATTCTAACAGGTGGTCCAGGCTGAAACCACTGTGATACGTTAAGTCCATGAGTTTGAAACAGGTTTCTCCCATTGACCTTGGGAGATGATAGACTCTACCTTAAGGCTTTAGTTCTTCATCTTAGCTGCATATCAGAGTAACATGAGAAACTTGACAAATAAGAACAAAACAAAAAGCCCATGCCAGCGACTCATCCCAGAAGCCAAAGCCAGAATGGGAGGTGAGGAGGCGGGCTGAATATGCGGCTATAGGATTGACAACCAGTGTCCCCACTCGGGTCTCATCAGAAAGTCCGCTAGTTCCCATTACTTGTTCCTACCCTTCACTTCAAGGAATGCAGGCGTCGAGGACGATGCCAAGGGGAGAATTCAAGACAGAAATGTAGAGAGAGGACTCCTCGGAAGAAGTTGCAGGCCAGTGTTTTCCTCTAGAAAGCTGTCACTGTTTGGATCACTACAAAACACAGACAACTTACTAGGCACGGCACTAGGGGCTTCCAGAAAGGGAAAGACTTATTTGTAGTTTCAGGAGGCGGCGGTCTGCGCTCCAAGGTCCGACCATCGCTGCTAACTACCAGATCGCCATGCGCAAGTTCCGCTACGGCAGCGGATATCCAGGTGCGATCAGGTACCCCGGGGTCACCGCGCCCTCGCTGCCCGGCCCCGGACTCCTCGCCTTCCCAAGCACACCTGGCTAGCCCCGACTCGCCGCCTTAAGGCCAGCTCCGTCCAGTGTCAGCCCGGCCCCCGGTCCCTGACCCCTGCCAGGCTCCAACAAAGTCACCGCGAGTCACCTGCGCGAGCATCGAGACCGGCAGAGGAGCACAAGGTCTCGTCCGGATCCCCGCAGGGCATAGGGCCGTGCTGAGTGGCCGTGCCGCAGCCAGCGTGCTGGCCCGGGGCAGTGGTGTGAAGGCCGCGGGCAGGCGGCGGACACAGACAGAAAGGACACGAGCCGCCATGGCTACACCAACCCAGGATGCACTGCGCCGCAGCCTCGAGGCCGGGATTCCTCGCTCGTCCCGCGCAGGCGACGCACAGAGCGGCGCTGCGGGGCCTCGGCGGCGCTAGCGGCCCCTAGCGGCCCCTGGCGGCCCCTGCACCCTCAGGACCGTGCCAGAAGGTCATTCATTAGGTTTGGAGGTGAGGCTACTTCGCGTCAGAACTAAGGGCACAGCCTGTCTCTTCCTACACACTGATGAAAACTTATAGATAAAAAAGAAACTCATTGATTCACCCTATGAAAATTCTTAAATGCATTTATTTAAGTTTTGATGCCACGAGTCCTGTTGTTGTGAAGTGCCGTGGAGTCGATTCCGAACCATAGCGACCCTGTATAGGGTTTCTAAGGAGCAGCTGGTGAGCTTCAACCGCCGACCTTGCAGTTCAAACGGCTTTGCAGTCTGGCGCATTAACCCACAGCGCCACACTTGTTGTTGTTAAGTGCCATTGAGTCAGTTCTGACCCATAGCGACCCAGTACGGGGTTTCCGAGGGTGTAAATCTTTACGGGAGTAGAAAACCTCAACCACTACGCTACCAGCGCCACATTAGGACTCCGCTATAAGTCCTACAAAAGTATTAAAATGTATTTCATAGGTGTGGCGCTGTGGGTTAATGCGCCAGACTGCAAAGCCATTTGAACTGCGAGGCCTGTGGTTCAAGCTCATAAGCTGCTCTTTGGAAACCCTATACAGGGGTTGCTATGGATCGGAATTGACTCAAGGGCACTTAACAATAGGTTGAAAGTTCACATTACAAAATGCAAAAACGAAAATTATAAATAAGAATGTGAAAATAAAAAACATTTCAAAAACGAGACTCAATTTAAACGTATGTTGTTGTGTGTGTGGAGTCGGTTCCGATTGTAAATCTTTATGGGAGCAGAAAGCCTCATCTTTCTCCCGCGGAATAGCTGGTACTTCCGAACTGATGACCGTGAGATTAGCAGCCGGATTTGTAACCACTATGCTACCAGAGCTAATACTGATACCTGTGGGAAGGAAGATATAAACATGTGTGTTTTAAAAGTTGACAAAGTATAAACTTAACAAAAATAAGGAAATGGGTGGAGGTTAAATCTAACTTGTTCACATTGTTGTTGTTGTTGTTAGGTGCCATAGAGTCGGTACCAACTCATAGCGACCTTATGCACAGCAGAATGAAACACTGCCTGATCCTGGGCCAACCTCACTACTGTTGCCACACTTGAGTCCATCAATGCTGCCACTTGGCCAATCCATCTCTTTGGGGGTCTTCCTCTTTTTCTCTGACCCTCCACCTTACCAAACATGATATCCTTCTCCAGCGACTTGTCCGTCCTGACAATATGTCCAAAATATGAGAGACAGACTTGGGCCATTTTGGCCTCCAAGGAGCACTCTGACTTCATTTCTTTTAAAACGGATCTACTGGTTCTTCTGGCAGCCCATGGCACTTTCATTATTCTCCTCCAACACCATAACTCAAAAGTATCAGTTCTTCTAGGGTCTTCCTTATTCACTGTCTAGCTTTCGCATGCATGTGAGGTTATTGAAAATACCATGGCTTGGGTCAGTTGCACCTAAGTCCTCAAACTGACATCTTTGCTCTTCAACACTTTAAAAAGGTCTTGTGCAGCAGATTTGCCTAATGCAATACTTCGTTTATTTGGTTCAAACTGACCTTGCAGTTGAGTTCTTATCCTGCAGTGCCACACCAGGATTCAAAATAGATCATGAAATTTTCTTTTTGATGCTTATGTCATTCCTTTTCAATCTGTCACTCCTGGCATAGTAAGCCATATGAGCGTGATTTCAGCTCACTAAACACCTAGGATACTGATCTTTATGAGTTCCATTTCATTTTTGACAAACTCTAATTTTCCTAGATTCATACTTTGTACATTCCATGTTCCAACTATTAATGGTTTATAGCTGTTTCTCCTGTTTCAGTTATGCCCCATCAGCAAATTAAGATTCCAAAAGTTTTGCTCCGTCATCATGGTCAACTCAACTTGGAGGAGTCAGCTCTTCCCCAGCTGTATTTTGAGTGACTTCCAACCTGAGAGACTCCAGTTGCAGCACTGTATCATCTCACAACGTTCGGTGCTCTTCTTCATGTTTCAATAGCTAAACCTTCAGTTGTTGTTGTTACGTGCTGAGGAGTCAATTCCGACTCATAGTGACCCTGTACTGGGGTTTCTGAGGCTGTAAATCTTTACGGAAGCAGAAAGCCTCATCTTTCTCCCATGGAACAGCTGGTAGTTTTGAATTGCTAACGTTGCGGTTCACAGCCCAATTTATAAACACTACGCTACCAGAAGTCCTTTAGTAGTCTGCCATTTTCTTCAATCTGTGTTAATCTGGAAGCTCTGCTGACACCTGTGCACCATGAGTGACCCTGTTGGTATTTGAACTGCCTGTGGCATAGTTCCCAGCACTACACAAGCCATCACAGCCACCAGAGCACGACTAACAGAGGAGTGGTCAAGGCTAGGCATTGGCTCTTGCAATTGTCCTCCTAGTTACTTATGTAATATCCACACAAAATCTGCTTATGAATGTTTATAGCAGCTTTATAACTGCCAAAAATGGGAAGCAACAGAGATGTCCTTTAAAAGGTGAATGTATATACACAAACTGTGTATATTCATACCACAGAGTATTATTCAGCAGTATAGAGCTATCAAGACATGAAAAGGCAAGCACAAACCTTTAATGTATACTACTTAGTTAAAGAAGTTAGACTGAAAAGGGTATTGTAAAACAAAACAAAACAAAGATACCAAATTAGCTAACATAGTCCACAAAGACAATGTTCTCCATCCTGCCTGGTGAGTAGTGTCTGGGACCTTGAAAGTTTATGAGCAGCTACTAAGACATAGCTATTAGTGTGGAAGAAAGCAGGGTGATAAGAACTGGAAGATGCTTGGAATCCATGAGTCCGATGGCCTAACGGAACATGTAAACATCAGTCTCCGTGACTCTGAGACGAGAACTAGCCAGTGCCTGGCTACCACTACCAACTTCCCTGAAAGGGAACACATTAGAGGGTTCCGGATAGAGTGGAAGAAAATGTGGAACAACACTAACATTATTTAAAAAACAAACAAACCAGGTTTACTGGTCAGCAACTTTTCCCATCTTCTCTTACCCAAACCCATCAGGGAAACAGTATTGTCTGGTGGGAGTTTACAAAACTACGGCTAGAAGAGACATTAAATAATTCACTGCACTGAAAGAATGGGCTGTGTTATTTAAGCATATGACACTCAGGAAAAGGTAAAATTCGAGACAGTAAAAAGACCAGTAGTTTCTCCGGGGTCAGTTGGAGGGAAACTGATGAATGTAAAGAGCATCAGGAATTTTTAAGGCAGTAAAATATATTCTGATGTTGGATACCTGGCATTATGCATTTGTGAAAACCCACAGAACTGCACAACACAGAGGTGACCGCTAATGCAAATGATGCACTTTATTGTCTGTTGTTGCTAAGCGCTGTCTAGTTGATTTAGACTCACAGTTACCTTGCATAGGGTTTCTGAAGAGCGGCTGGTGGATTTGAACCGGTACCTCGAGGCTAGCAGTCCAGTGCTGATCCTACAGTGCAGGACTCCAAAATAGACTTTAGTGAATGATATCAATATTCGCTCATCAGTTGTAACAAATATACAACATTAATGCAAGATTTTAATAACCTAAGAAACTGTGTGTGTGGGGGGCAAGTATATATGGGAAAACTGGATTTTCTATGAATCTAACATGTTTATAAAAAAACAGTCCATTAAACATACATCAAGCAGGATGTATCAAAATAAATATTTATTAACATTTGCAGCTTAAGTATACTGTATCTACACCTTTAAGAGCAAATGTACAAATGAGGAGAATTATAAAATACAGCCTAAAACCCCGTCCTCCCAAGTGTAATGATCATTCAAGATCACAGTGCCACCACCATCAAAAATAATAAATCTGTCTGAATGAATAAAATTCTTTAAACACCACTCAGACATTTCCCTTAAAAGTTACAACTCCAAAAAGGTATTGAGGAGGCCAGATATATCCATAAAACTGTGTTTTCTTCTTGTCCAAACTTATTAGTAGCGGTATACATATATATTTCCATCTTTTTGTCCAGCCAGCAAATGAGAATCTGTATCTGACCACTTCACAAAAGACCAATTTTGGTCCGAGACAGGTGGGAGAAGAGTAGTACAATGGCCCAAAAGTAAGTCCCAAATGGCAATTGTTCCAGAAGTCAACACTGCCGCTGCTAAATGATCTTTAACATCACCTTCCAGGAACCTAGTACCAAGCAGAAAAGAGGTCATTCAAATCACATAACAAAACAAACACATTTCTCTACAATACAGTGAAACCATACTTGCCAAAGCGACCAGAACACAAACACCTGTGAATCTGATTGCCTTCTCAGAGGCCTGTGGCTGAGTCAGCTGCAGTTTTGGCTGTATTCACACTCTATCCAGTCCCTGCCTGTCTCTCTGTATCTGCCACTCTCGCTTCAGTTCACGTTGTTCCTTCCTCAAGTCTTCAAACTAGTCCAGCTCACTCTCACCTTCGATGTCCTAACCTTTTCTAGTATTCCACACTTTGAAGAGGTCTTGTGCAGCAGATGTGCCTAATGCAATTCCTCATTTGATTGCCTGACTGCTGCTTCTGTGTGTTGACAGTGGATCCAAGCAAAATGAAGTCTTTGACATCTTCAATCTTTTCTCTGTTTATCAGGATGTAATTTATTGGTCCAGTTATGAGCATTTTTGTTTTCTTTACGTTGAGGTGCACCCCATACCAAAGGCTGTGGTCTTTGATCTTCATCAGGAAATATTTGAAGTCCTGTTCGCTGTAAGCAAGGAAGTTGCATCATCTGTATATCGCAGACTGTTAATGAGTCTTCCTCCAAACTTGATGCTTCTCGGATTTTGTGCTCAGCATACAGATTGAGTAAGTATGGTGAAAGAATACAATGCTGGTGCACACCTTTCCTGACTTTAAAACAGTCGCTGTCCCCTTGTTCTGTTTGAACAGCTGCCTCTTGTGTTATGTCCAGATCCCTCACGAGCATGCACCACACTGGTATGAAAATGGACAGAGTGTGGAGTTGGGCGCTTAAATCCCTACTGATAACATTCCTACGCTGATCGGTAGCATTTCCTGTTTCCCATTCATCTCAGTGACACAAAGATACCTGGTTTCTGTATTTGCATAAGTGCTCACTGGGCCCTGGTTACCCACACTTACCTGCCAGCCTGTCCTGGAGGGAGACAGTAGAGGAGCACACCCACACTCCGGGCCGTCTTGGGGTTGATGACAATCAGCTGAAACACGGGGCTTCCCAGCCACTCACTCTCTTTGGCACAGGGATGACTCAGAACAACAAACAGGAGTCCCTCATTTAGGAAGAAAAATGAACCACCAAATAAATCATCAAAATCAGCCATGCTGGCGAAGAGAAAACCAACGAATTACCCGAATGGTCCAAAAGCTCTAAGATGCTCAGGATTGAGTCCTATGGAAATGATCACTGAGCTGCTATGCCGGGTTCTCTATGATACGGTTCCAATGTTTTCCAGCCAGCCTAGCGACGAAATCTACAGCACATCTCATACCATCCACTTGTTGAAATGTTGATGTAGAGCAAGGGAACACAGGTGGGTATGTCAAAAAGTATTGCTACTAGGGTTCGTTTCATGCATGGGTTTGTTCCAGACAAAATGTGTTTAAACCTGTCTCTGCAATCAGTGGATGGCTGCAGACAAGGTCTCTCACTACACATCTGTCTTAGCGTCATTAGGCGTCTTCAAAACAAAAACAAAATGTCAACTCCAACCAAAACAGTGGCTTCTAAGGAGATCTACTGGGCCAATTAAATTCAAGGGAGAGAGGTCAGCTCAGAGGATTATGGTAACTATTTTCTAGGATTTTAAAGGGAGTGAGTGATTTTCTTGAATGATACAGGACAATCATGGGGCCTTTGGGGAAGAAGTTATAAGAAAATCGAAAAGGCACTGGTGAGAAAAAGGCCAGGAAAGTTGCACCAAGGCATTTTTTCCTATAATGACAATATACCTGTAAGGGCTGACTTACGCAAATTTCATTGGGAACTTATCCCATTCATCCTATAGTCCTGATTTTGCCACTTAAGATTTATTTGTGTTCCTCAAACTCTAACGTTTAAAAGGAACATGACTTGAGTCCCTCAAGAATGCCCAAACTGACATTTTGATGTAAATTCTTTAAGGAAGGGTGATAGACAAGGACACACCACCGTCAGAAGTGTGTATACCTAGATGGAAGGCACGTGTTATTTTTGTTTAATAAAAATTTCTATGGTTGTGTAGCAATACTTTTTTGACTTATCCCTATAATCAACTGGAGGGAGTTCCTCAAATTTATGAATTGAGTTTTGAAAATTCAGAGCACATTCTTCCATAAAAACAACCTTATAAACGGTGACTGAATTCTTAGAAGAATCTATTTAAAACCCAGACTCCACTCCTCTATACTGAGAACAAGAGTAAAGACTGGTCTCATGGACTTCAGCTTACTATCTCATCTATTACATATTATTTAAAAATTTAAATTTAAAATAGGTATTCATGTTATAATAAAGGCATCAAGTTATGTAATGCTTACTAGGTAAATTTCCAGTCCTGGCAACTTTACTCTCTCTTGTTTTAAGGAAGAAAAAAGCTAGGCTGAAGATTACGTGAACTGTTGAAACCACACAACTTTCCACTTCAGTTCTGAGAACCCTGTTAGACTAGGGATAGATGCTCAACTTGCCTTTGGAGCCTGAGTGCTGATGCCCCCGGGTTTCCACTGAGGCTTGGAACTGAGCCTACACAGCTCTAACCTGTGCTTCCAACAGTCAGCACTGCAGCGGTCACTCCTGACTCCTGGTCAACTACCTGAATTGATATCAATGGCTAAGAAAAGCATTATGACTATGTAATCATTCTTCCTAAGGGTATTCACTCACCTCAGAAATCATTTTTGGCAATGTGGTTAGAAGTCAACCCTAATAATGGCCATATGATTTCTCAGCACAAATTTACACCTAGAAATAAGTGCCCTCTAGTCCTACAGACAAGGAGCTCTGGTAGCGTAGAGGTTACGAGTCGGGCTGCCAACCTCAAGGTCAGCAGTTCGAAACTACCAGTGGTTCCATGGGAAAAAGATGAGGCATTCTGCTCCCGTAAAGATTTACAGCCTTGGAAACCCTGTGCAGGGTCGCTATGAGTCAGAGCCGACTCCACGGTACTTAACAACAACAACAACAACAACAAATCCTACAGACAGAACATTTAGCCATTACAGTACACCAGGATTTGTCTCAGCTGTCAAGTTCAAGATCAAACATTTGACTTGAAAACCATGAGTGGCAAGGATGGTGAGTTAACTGTTGCTGTTGTGAAGTGCCATCGAGTTGGTTCTGACCCACAGTGACCCTGAACTGCAGACCTTGAGGTTCAAAGTGACTTTGCAGTTCATCACATTAGCCCGCAGCACATCAGGACTCCATTGTTGCTGTTAGGTGCCGTCCAATGGGCTCCTCTGCATGCCACCAGGAGGACCTGCCCTGCATCACCTTCACGGTCACTGGGGTTCTGGAACCAGAGGAGTGGCTGCTGTGTCAGTCCATGTCACCGAGTTTCCCTGCCATTCCCTGGCCTCTACGCTACCACGTGTGCTGCCCTGCGGTAGCAGTCAGTGACTACTCACTCTCACTCACTGTGGTCCCGTCGTCGCCTCCACTTACCATTTCCGAATAGGCTTTGTGACAGACTGAGGCCTGGTAGCAATCGCCCATGTGCATCTTTCTCAGGAGCTGACCCGTTTTTAAATTCCTAGATACCAAAAACAGCCAGTTGATAAAATTATTCCTGCAAATTGGTTTTCCCGTATCATATTTTAGTTTATCACAGCATCCTTTAAGAAGTGACCAAGGAGAAAACTAAGTAGTCCACAGTACTTCAGTTTTATTTAGTCACGGATTTCGTGAAGGAAAACAAGAACTTTGCTAGTAGACTTTGAATGGAATCTTACAAACTTGGTATGTTTTCATTTACTTCATTTTATACAGTAAACCAAGTTTTCATGGTGACGGCAGTACTTAATGGTTATTGAGTTAGCATTAGAAAGTAGCTCCTGAAAATTCTGCCCTTTGCACATGTGCAGTTACTGAGATCTCTTGAAATCAGAATAAAGGAAGCACACAGTCTTTTTCATTAAACCACAAAGTAATGGATTTATTATTGTCTGCTTTGAGTTGGAAACAAAACAGACTTTAGTCATGCTGTAAAACTGATCAGTAATTTCAGGCAGAAAAACAAAATAACAACTATAGGCAAGCTGGGCTTTGAGTCAGGTATTTTTAAGCACGTGGGTGATAAAAACTTCTTCAAATCAAAGTAAAAATGTCTATGTGTAATTAATTTTTTTTCACATAAGGACTATCAGATACCAGCGTAGGTTTATCCCTACAGAGGTTAGTTAGTATATGGTCTGTATTTAGCAACCGCTCCTTCCTTAAATTCCAAATCACTCTGACCAATTTAAATTCCATCACTTTGATTCTGTCTTAAAATTGTGAAGGAGTTTTACATTTACCTATTAGATTCAGGGGTCTCGGGACCAGGATTCATATCTGACTCATCTTGCAATTTCTGAGAGAGACTGGTACATAGAGACTCATGAATGACTGAAAGATGTGTCTTGACCAAGATGAAATCCTTAGACCTTTAGTAAGAACTTCAAGTATAATATAAATCACTTTAGGTACCCGACAAGCCCAGTTAAATAGGAAAGGTAAGTGCTGGTGGTTGTATGCTGTGGAGTCAGTTCCGACTCATAGCAACCCCGCACAGGGTTTCCAAGGCTATAAATCTTTACGGTAGTAGAAAGCCATCTTTCTCCCATGAACAGCTGGTAGTGTCGAACTGCTGACCATGAAGTTAGCAGCCCAACTTGTAACAGTACTCTACCAGAGCTCCTTAGGAAAGGTAAGTAATATATGCAAATAAAAAATGACAACAGATCCCAAAATCTAAGTGATAACTTTGATCTATAATGTAAATCATGTACCTTTGAGTACTCCATGCAGGTACTAGGAATAAACAGAAGACATGGTACCTATCTTTAAGAATCAAAAAGACAAATAATACAAAGTCACAAAGGCTTAAGTTAAAAATAAGGTCAATATTAATTCAGAGAGTACAGTCTGAGATGGAGAAAGCACTTTAGGCGACTGTGAGGCTGAAGACACCCCTTAAAGGAGAGTTAGGAGCTCAGTATAGTGATCCTTTGCCAACCTTGGACTGTGCTCTGGTTATAGGGGAGCGGCAGAGCCAGGGCCGTGCCTTCTGTGATGACTTATATGATCTGAGAAGAAGCAAAGGGCAAGACCAGCATTACCTGTCATAGAACCAAGTGGTCTAGTTTATCTGGACTAGTACATAAGGTAAGATAAGGATGGAAAAGACAGGTGAGTGTCAGATTGTGGGTTAACAATTGGGACGTAGGCTGAAGACAAAGGAGAAGAACCAATGACTTTTTTTGGGAACTGTGGGGGTGTTGAAGAGAAGTGTTTACAAATTAACAACTTGGAACCCACTGCTGTCTTTTGATTCTAACTTATAGAGACCCTATAGGGCGGAATATAATTATTCCATAGGGTTTCTGAGGTTTAAGACTTTAAGGAAGCAGACTGCCTCATCTTTCTCCCACAGAGTAGCTGGTAGGTTCGAACCACAGACCTTTCTGTTAGCAGCTCAACACTTACCCTACTGTGCCACCAGGCTCCTGGTTTACAAAGTGATACTTTATAATCCTGTTTATGACCTGGTATGATTCTCCATATTCATGAGAAAGAGGTGAGTGGGGACTCAACACAAATTTGTTAATTTGGCTGTCATGCTCACACTTTTTCTTTTTTGGGAGGATGTCTAGTACATCCTAGACATTATGATATGTGACATAAACTCTGGATTCTGTAAAGCTTCTCAGGAGAAAATTGATTTTTAAAAAAATATATATTGTTGGTTTAGTAAGCTGTAAACTTGGCTGAATTCAAACTCGAACGATGAAATCAGAGTTGAATTATTTTAGCATTAGCTGGGAGGCTTGGAGACAGTCCTGTGTATATATAAATGTCACCCAAGTATGTAGGCAAAGATTAGACCCAGAATTTCGGGCTCTTCTCCGCAGCTTTTTCCTTTGTAGGATTTTTCTTATTCACAAAGGAAGTAAAATCATTTTTTTCCTTTGGGACAAGGGAGCAGGACCTGCGGTGCACACAGGGCCAGGAACAGCGCCTGATCCCATCAGCCAAGCAGGAAAGTGCAGAATTCATGGAGAACTGAGTTCTCTAGTAGACGGAGAAATCAATCCTAGAAGGAGCACACTTTTGGACCCAACTAACAAAACTGAAAGGAGACACTCTAAAACGAGAAAACTATCAGGCGCTTAAATGCATTCCAAAAACTAACTATTCGTGGGACCACAAAACACCCAACACCCAACAAGATAAAAGAACAATGTCAAAAAGCTGGGTCAAAAATTTCTGGGCATGCCAAGAAACACGGAAACACTACCTATCATGAGGAGAAAAATCAATCAGTCAAAACCGACCCAGAAATTACACAGGAACGAATTGTTAGACAAGGACAGTAACCTGTATACTGTATGTTCAGGAGGCCAGAGGAAAGACTGAGCACGCTAAGCAGACACTTAAAGGATCCAAAGCAAACTTCTGGAGATCAAAACACTTGAGATGAAAGTAAATCTTCACAGTTTTAGTTACTCAGTGCCCAGACCACTGACTGCTCTCCAGCCATAAAAACAGGTAACTCGCCCAGGACCATTCCCTCCCTGCATGGGTTGAATCCCCTGCAGTATCGATTTTGGTTTGCTCTCCAGTGTCTTCAGATAGTTGTTTTTTATATTTTGTCCTGAGTTTATAGTCATATGAGGTAGGCAAGTTGGTCCTATAGATGCTACTCTGGCCATTAATTAATCAGAAAGAAAAATAAAAAATGTTGATAATAATAAAACAGTAATAGTAAAATACTATTATTTAAAAATATTCTACTCAAACCAACCTTCACAATATCTGAATTTTTATGATGTTCTTGTTGAGACAAGTATGTATCATTTGACAGTTAAAAAACAACAACAACAACAAAAAACACCAAAGTAAACATGTTTGTATATAATCTCTTATCTCAGGTTCTACGAGTTGGACTGCTAACCTCAAGGTCAGCAGTTTGAAACTACGAGCTGTTCCACAGGAGAAAGATGAAGGTTTCTGCTCCTGTAAAGATTTATAACCTTGGAAACCCTGTACAGGGGTTGCTGTGTTGGAACCGACTCCACAGCACATAAACACCACCATCTAATGTTCACAAAAACCCTGTGAAGTTTGGGGTATGTGCTCATAATATAGATGAGGAAACTACGACCCTAATACAGAGGGAAAGCTTACCAAATAACAATGTTGTTCATTATAGTGGTACCAAGCAGAGCTTCCTGCATTCCTTGGACTTCAGCAAAAGTTAGTATAGTCTCTTCAGGGGGCATCAAAAATTTTTTTTCTATGCTTCTGCATTTTAAACAGCATTAAAAATCAGTACTTTGCATCAAAACAATTTCTAAGCAGTCCTTCTATACATTCTTGAACCATACATAAAGAAAACTATTATTTCAGAAGAAAATTAAATCAGAAAACATGTATATGCTAATATTTTTTACTTTGAACATATTATCATTGCATACTATCTACCTCAAATTCATCACATCCCAAATCAAACTCTTAAGTTTTATCCTTAAGCCTAGTGTTTCTTTCTACTTTAGCTCAACAAAGTACACCATCAACCAAGTGACCAATCCAAATCACCCTACAGAGTTCTCCTTGTCTCCTTTCTCTTTAGTCAATCATGAAGTCCTCTGATTTCATATTCTTACCTCTTTCAACTGTCTGCTTGTTTCTCCGTGTACACATTCCTATTGGAAGCAATTATTTGTCTTTTCCCTAAATTAGTGCAATAGGTCTTTAATGAACAAAACAAGATCTCTGCTTTGTTGGAAGACAGATAAACAACTACAATAAACACTGATGAGTATGAGAGACATATTGGTGTTGTTAAGTGCTGTCGAGTTGATTCTGACTCACAGCAACCCTGCATAGCTTCCGAGGAGCAGCGGGTGGGTTTGAACTGCCAACTTTATGGTTCGCAGTCCAGTGATCCTACAGCGCCACACCACGAGTCCAACAAGAAACATAGGGGGCGCTCTAAGAGTTCAACTTTCACCATGTTGAATTGGAAGTGTTCAGAAGACGTCTAATAAGTAAGCTCACAGCTAGAGATACATGTTTACAAGTAGTCAGCGCCCAGCTGGTAACAGAAGAAATGGAAACAAAGTATACAGAATAAGAAAAGGGCCTAGGACATTTAGATACTTCTAATTAGTATACTATTTAATTAGTATATAATTAGAATATTCTAATATTCAAGGGACAGAGATTTCAAAGACAAAGCAAACTGTTGGCTGACCCTTTCTACTCCACTGACATCTTCCCTGTCATGTCTAGCTTCTATCTCTCTAACCTGCTTCTATGTTATAGCTTAGCTAAGGATCCTGGTGTCATCATGTAGGAAAAGCACTGGGCTGTTAACTGAAGGTTGGCAGTTGAAACCCACCAGCTGCTCCTCAGAAACCATATGGAGGGTCAAAATGAGTCAGAACAGACTCATTTGTCACTTAACACCAACAACATGGCTATGTTACAGTGATCCCACACCTACACTCACTGCATAGAACTATCCCCCAGGGCTTCCAAGCCTGGAGTCTTTATGGAAGCCAACTGCCACATCTTTCTCTCACGGTGGGCTCAAACTGCCAGCCTTTTGGTTAACACAGTCAGGATCCTTTAAGGTACATCTGTAGCTCAGAAAACAGAGATCACAGTGGTCCAGGCTTCTGAGCCCTGTGATTAAATCCCTTCCTGTATCATAGTGAACCATCCAACGCTTTTCTTACCTTCCATCTTCGGCAAACATCATGATTTCCACTTGCTGATCACAAAGGGTTCCGCTACTGCTGATCAGCCTTCTCTTTGTCAGGCCAAGCACAGCTTTTATATTCCCAGATTTCAGTAGCAACTGCTTCTCACTTACATCATCACAGGAATAAAGCAATGCCCTAAACAAGAAAAATGGGGAAAAGTCAAGAAAATGTCTTTAATATTTAAGGATTAGTTTCAAATTTCAAATGGAAACATATTCCAAATTGTCACTACATTGACAGTTTATTTTTTTTTCTTCCTTAAAAAAAAAATCTCTTTAGATTTAAATTCAGATTCTTTCAAGACTCAAGGCAGGTTATGTGTACTCTCAATAGTCTGACAGAGACAAAGATAAAGGAAAACAAAAAACTAATCACTTCTTGAGAATTACATACCTGATTTCTCTGATTTCCAAATTTCCCAGAGCCACACACACAAGATTACAAACATCAGGCATTGAGACTATTTGTAATACTGGAACCTAAGTAAAAAAACAGTAAAAAATATTATTTGGCTGTTTCTTTTTAGGATCTTAATTCCACTGGCGAGAAATGGCTTTCAGAGAGCTTTGCAGACACGGGTATTCAGTTACCCAGCTAGTAAAGAGCAGTCAGGACTTGAATTCATGTCTTTGGGGCACAACATGCAGCTTCTTCCCACTCCCCACATGGCCTCTGGTATATCTTTTTTAACAAGTAGAACATTTTCTGAAGTTTATTATATTCCTTTCTATTCTCACTACACCAGGATAGTTTCTAGCATTCAAATAATCTTAGAAGGTTCAACGAACATCCCTTTTTAATGAGCTGTACATTGAAATCAACTAGATAAATAACATAATGACTAAGTGCACAGTTGCAAACTGAAAGGTTGGAGGTTCAAACCACCCTGTGGTCCTGTAAAGACCAGGTAATCTACTCCTGTAAAGATCACAACCTAGAAAAGCTGATCGGGGCAATGCTGCTCTCACATGGGTTTGCTATGGGTTGGAACAGACTTGATAGTACCTAACGACATTTTGTTGCAGCATTTACATAATATAATCTCTATACATAACAACTGGGGAAAAATTCAGGAATCCTGGCATTATGCAGCCATTTAAAATGAAAGCTGAACCAATATGGTAGAGAACAAAAATGAATACCAACATTGAAGTATATGTAGAAATAGGGAAAAATGTTGACATGGTGAGAAAAGGCACAGTTAAAATGTTTAAGCACACTAGGATCTCAACCATGTAAGATACGTGTGGCAGTGGACAAAAACTAGAAGGAACTACATCTCAAACGGAAGCAGAAATCCTGTTCTGGTGATGGTCATGGAATACACTTGTTGTCAAGTGCCGTAGGGTCAGTTGTATAGGGTTTCTGAGAAGTGGCTGGTGGGTTTGAACCACCGATCTTTAAGTTCAAAGTGACCTATTGTCCACTGGGTATTGGTCAATTAAGAAGTCAGATGAGGCATGAGATTCCAAGCTCTACTAACATGTCTAGTATAGAAACCCCTCTCTCTGAATAAATGTGTGATAAAATAAAGCATCTGATGGTAGGCAAATGAAACTCTTCTATTGCCCCTGCTCTGTCATAGATAGCCACTTTTGGTAAACTGCCCATTGGTATTCTCATACAAATGACTGCACAGGGCTCTTTCAGCTCCAAGATTCTGACTTACCTCTGTGAAATGCCAAGTACAAACTTTTTTCCACTGCCCAGTATCCACAGGTTTCCAAAGAGAAACTACATATTCACAAGCAGTTATGATGCATGGCTCTTTATAACCAGCGGTTTCCCACCACATGGCACTCACATCCACAGAACAGGAACCTGAAGGATTCTGACAACAAAGCAAGTTATTTTATTTTAAAGTGATACTTGAAGTTTGCTGCATGAAAAAAAAAAAAATGTGATGGATTCCAAGGATCAGATGTCATTAACGACATTAGTGTCATTAACATTTTATGCAGTTCAAAAGGAAAAGAGTGCTTGTGGAATCTTATGTAACTTAAAAACTGTCCACACACACTTGAAACTTGACAGACTTTAACTCAGAGGTTAAAGAGACTATCAACATTTTAATTCACAAAACAACAAAGAGAATACTAACTGTATATCCAAAACTGCAAGGCATGGCCAAAGCAGTGAAAATAACAAAAGTTTTATAACCATAAAGGCATTTCTTGAAAAATAATATTAAAATTCAGAATACAACACAAGAAGTTAGTTGTTGTTGTTGTTAAGTGCCGTCGAGTCGGTTCCGACCCATAGCGACCCTGTACAGGGTTTCCGAGGGTGTAAATCCTTACGGGAGTAGAAAGCCTCATCTTTCTCCCGCGGAGCGGCTGGTAGTTTCGAACCGCTGACCTTAAGGTTCGCAGCCCGATTCGTAACCACTACGCTACCAGAGCTCCTTAAAAGGACAGAATTCTAAAAATCGGAAATGAAAGAAAGTGAAGAGGCATAATTATACATACACAGACAAAAAACTAAGAATTACTTTTTATATGCAACTCTGAAAGTAAGAATGAAATGATTAATTCCTTGAAGAAAATAAGTTGTTAGAAATCTACTCAAGAATATTTTTGAAGCAGATCACAGGTATTATCATCTGCCTTTTACAGAAAAAGAAATTGGGACTAATTTGCCGAAGGTTAAGTCAGTACAAACAGGCATGTGGTTTAAAGAAAGCTCTTTCCTCTACAACAGTGATTTTCAAGTGGGAGTGATTTTGCTCCCTCAAGGTCAGCAGTTCAAAACTACCAGCTGTTCTGTGGGAGAAAGATGAGGCTTTCTGCTCCTGTCAAGATTTACAGCCTTGGAAACCCTATACAGGGTTGCTATGAGTCAGAACTGACTCAACGGCACATAACTACCACCACCAGGGGATAATAAGCACTAGACTGCTAATTGTAAAGTCAGTGGTTCAACCCCACCAGCTGCTCCTTGGAAACATGATTCAGGGTCATTATGAATTATAATCGACTCTACAGCACTTAACAACAACAGGATATTTAGGAGTCTGGATGGTGCTGTAGGGTAAGCACTGGACTGCTAACCACAAGGTTGGCGATTCTAACCCACCAGGCACTCCTTGGGAGAAATACGGGGCTTTCTGTTTCTGTAACGATTTATAGCTTCAGAAACCCTGTACAGGGTCACTTGAGTCAGGATTCTCAAAGGCTGTGATTTGAATCTGGAGTACATTTAGCTAAGTCTGGAGACATTTCAGGTCACCACAAATTGGGAGGGCTGGCCACTGGCGTCTAGTAGGTAGAGGCTAAAGATGCTACTAACACTGTACAGTACACACCATGGTCCCCACAATACAGTGAATTCCAATATGTCAACAGTGCCAAGGTCTACACTGCTTCATAACTCACCGTAACAGTTCTTCTAGAAACATCACACCTATCCCTCTTTAGAACATGGGTCTGATTTAAATTTAGAAACAAAGTGAAATGACAGCCTATACTGCTGTTGGCAATAGCTTCATAAATAAACTCTCAGGAGACAATCCCAAAGAACACAGGCTATTCTGAGTCATTCTGAATCTGTTTTACTTATCACTTTCATTTAAGAACACTAAATAAAGAACAGAAAGCTATATGATCATGCTTTAAAAATTGTTTTCCTAGCAATTTATTAAATGTTTCAGAGCTATACAACACAAGACACAATAGAAGGCAATAAGCTTCTGACCTTTAGCTTTGAAACCAATTGTAGGTTGCCGTCACAAGCAGGAAGGTCTGTTACTTCAGTCTGTGGAAGTAAAAGTCACACCATTAATATACGCTTTATGTATGATATCTGCTTCACTCGCTCAGCAAAATGTCTAGTTCATGTTATCTTTATTTCCTCCAGTAACAGAAGCAAGGTTCCAAATGCAACCGCTACTTTAACAATTAAAAAAAAAGCCAGGATCTCTCTATTAACAAAAGTCTTTTAATTAATCTTACTTTTTCCAGAATGAATTCAATATTTACAATGAAGGCATATTAAAGAAATATGTTAAAACATTCTTTCACATCGAGGGGCCAATGTGTACAAAGTCATGCTGTCTATACTAGGGAATTTAATGTCTTCAAAAAAAATTTCATGAAGGAAAGATTGTACCTGTCCAACTAAACCTGTGCACAATTCCAGGCCTGTACTTCCACACAGCTGGTCTCCTTTGGCAGTGAATGATTCCAGAGGTGGAGGTGCTACTTGGGAGCCCGAGTCACAATAACAGTCTTCTTGTCCTTTCCTATCTGACGTGCGGTGGCTGGTACCCAGTTTTGAGTATTGTTTATTATCACTGGTGAGACTGACGGAAAGATGGGGTGTACAGCAAGAATGTCTGACCACCTCTGCAGACACATTTTCGAAGCATGTTTGGGGGCCAAAAGGTGGAGTAGTGCCTAAGCTGGGGAAGGGAGGTGAACACGCGTCTGCCGTAACTCTGACATCATCCTCAGGTACAACGGTATTTAAGGGAGTGAATAGTAACATGGATGAAGTGAGACCCTTGTTCGTAGGCTGGCTTTGTAGGTTTGGCATCTTAGGATGTGCTTTTCCTAGTTGAACAACGAATTCCTTGTCCAAGACCTCCTTTTCTGTCTCCAGCTGTTTGGGAGTCAGTCCCTCTAAAACAGCATAATCTCCCTCCTTAAGGCGCCTCTCTGCATTCCTTTTTGATTCAAAAGGTACCATTCTTTTTTCTGAGTAGGATTTCAGTTTTTTTAGTTTAAGAGGTCCAAAGTCTTCATCAGGCAACTGAAAGTCTGTGATTTTTAAAAAAGATGACAATCGCTTTAAACTGGGCATTTCGTCCTTGTAAAATGGACCATTGTCCAAAACTAAACAATAACCAGGATCTCTGGAAGAAAGGGAGTTCTCTTTTTGCCAAAGACCCTTCTTCCCTAAAACAGAAAAATAAGCAACAGTAACAACAAAGCTGAAGAAAAGAAACATTAATATCCAAAAAGGAGTACACTTCTAACTCAAAACAGGTATACAATGTTCATCAGTTTCCATCCTCAATCCTAAAGGCTCAGCGAAGCCTTCAAAAAATGGCTCTAAGTTTGCTGTTAACTAGCACTTCTCCAGCCCCCATCCCACACCTTTGTAAAGACTATCTTGTGGTTTGGTGAAGGTTTACATAGCAATTTACATTCTCCTTCCACCGTTTCTACAGAAGTTGGTCCTCCGGGCGGGTTAGCAGTTCTCTCCCTTTTACACGATCAAAAAGGCAGCAGGGCGCATTACTGATGGCATTCGCTCAGCCCTGAAGCTGCTGTTACATCAAGTCAGTCAGTTCACTGCAGTATCTCCCAATCCCCGGTGAGGGGACCGGGCTGAGATTCTCTAAAGTCCTTTTTATTTCTCTGACTCCATCAGGCTGCCAGGATAGTCTATAAATTTACTCTTCTTACTGAAGGAAGCATAATCTTTACAAGTAGATTAACTGATGGCTGTGAAAAGGAATGGGCTGTTGTACACAGTAATTTTGACTGCAAGTTATTAAAATGATAGCTGATTGCTTCAGGGGACCTACCTAAAAGGATGTTTCCAGTTTACTACTTGATTGCCTTATTTTCTGACTCCTTTGTATTCTTGTTGGCTTAAAAGAAGATGAATAAATTTGGGATTGTGATTTTTAACTTAATTAATTTAATTCTAGCTCATGGACTCCTGGTGTGGTACTATAGGATAAGCACTGAACTGTGAACCAGGAAGTCAGCGGCTCAAAGCCACCAGCTGTTCCTCGGAAACCCACTACAGGGCTGCCAGGAGTCGGGGTCCACTTGATGGCATTTAACAACAATTACAGCTCAAGGAACAAACTGTGGGTCCAATGGCACAGAGCAGCCTATTACGTTATTTCTGTAAAGTTTCATTGTATTTGACTTGGAACATAGTGCTTATGTATTGTCAAGGGAAGCTTTCATACCATAGCTGAGTAGTTGCCTCAGATAGTATAAACTTCAAAGACTAAAATATTTGCTATCTAGCCTTTTAACAGAAAAAGTGTGCTGATCCCTCCTGTAGAGCCAAAGTGAATTATCCACTTTCTGTGCTCAGATATCGGGTGTGGCAACTTCTGATTAAATGAATTAAAACACGAAATTTTAACATAGCACTTGCCACCCTGTGTCCCAAAGGACTTAGACAGTAATTCAGATATTAAAAAAATATTAAAAAAAAAAATTATAACACCTCAGAGAATTTGTCAGAAAACTTTTACTTAAAAAAGATTTCCTGTATCAGTCCTGGTGTGGCGCTGTGGGTTAATGCACCAGACTGCAAAGCTGTTTGAACTGCAAGTTTGGCAGTTCAAGCTCACTAGCTGCTCCTCGGAAACCCTATCCAGGGTCGCTATGGGTCGGAGCCAACTCCATGGCACTTAACAACAACAACATATTAGTTATATGGAGTCCTGGGATGGCGCTGTGGGATACTCACTGGACTGCTAACCACAAGGTTGGCAGTTCAAATACAGCTGCTCCTTGGAAACCCTATACAGGGTTGCTAGAGTAGGAACCAACTCGATGGCACTTAACAACAATGTATTATAGAAGTCCGGGTGTGACACTGTAGGATAAGCACTGGACTGTGAACCACAAAGTCTGTGGTTTGAGCTTGCCAGCGGTTCCATAGGAGAACACTGTGGCACTTCAAACCCGTTCCGCTGCTCCTTGGAAACCCTATACAGGGTCGCTATGAGTTGGAATGATGGTACTAAAGAAATTCGAGTTCTGATCGTGCTGTAGCTGAACAAAGATTGCTGGGTACCATCAAGTACAGCAACCCCATGTGACAGAGTAGAACTGCCCTATGGGGTTCTCCTCTTCATGGGAATAGATCACCAGGTTTTCTCCCATAAAGCTACTGGTTAGGGTCATACCACTTTCATCAGCGCCCTTAACCATTGTGCCCCCAGGGATCCTTGGACAAATATTTACTTCAGGTAAAAAATACCTGATATATTTTCTTTTCAGTGTCTACTGTTTCAGCCGCATTAGTGAACTTGGCACCATACTGCAAGGTTTGAATCCTGCCTCTCCTACTTACTAGCTGTGTGACCTTGGTGACTCACTTTAATCTCTAGGTGCCTGAGTTTCCTCATCTGTAATGTCAGTATATAAACACACTCTGCCTGATATATGGCTGCTATGAAGACTTGATGACTTAGTACCTGTAAAGCACACACTGCCAAGGACACAAAACAAAAACAAACCCACTGCTGTTGGTTCTGATTCTGAACAACTCTAAGGGACAGGGTAGAGAGTGTTTACTATTTCATCATCATCAACCACATTAATTCTCTTCTCACCATGAATAATTTCCTTTTCCTTTTGCTCTTCATGCAAGACGACGTCTTCCTTGGATCTGGCAACACTTGTTGTGCGAGAAGTTGGCAAAATAAATTCATAATCATCCAACAGAGGGGTGTGGATTGGTTTTCGTTTTCCTCTGTTTTTCCTACCAGATGGCTGGGTAACTGACTTACTAGTGAAGTCATTATCTTTAGCAGGCCCAGTGGGACAGCTGACTTTAGTTAATGAGAGACATTTCTGAGAACTTCTTGAACTTGGTTGTCCTATCCAAGTATCACACATGCTAATTTCACTTTGGTCAATTTCTTCACAGGCAAGGTTTACATTTTTTGTTGTCTCCTTATTTTTATTTTTAAATCCTTTCTTCTGGACACCCAAGTGACTTTGAATTACAGTTTCCAGGGCTACATTCCTTTTGTGATTTGACATGCTTCGTGTCGTTCTAACATAATACTCTGCAGGAAACAGAAGACCTTCAAGCACTGTACAAGAGCGTGTTTGATTTGCTATAGAAACAGGAGAAATTGATTCTAGGCTAGAACTCTCGGACTGATTTAGAACCTCAATCTTCTTAAGATTTTCATTTCTACCATCAAGAATATTACTGGGAAATTTTAAAAACTTCTCTGTATGAATCTGTTCTTTTATATTTTGGTTTTCACTTCCTGGTAAGTTATTATAAGTGACTTCTTTTACAAAACATGAATTATCTGCTGTTAATTTAGGACTTCTAGGCAGGTAGCCACCTAGACTTAAATCTTTATTTACTACTGGGTTACTTGTAAAGATAGCAATTTTGTTACCTTGGACTTCAAAGTTTACAGGTGAAGTAGTACTACTGTTAGTAGGCTTCCAGTTAGCTTCAGCAGGCACGTGTTCAAGTTGCTGAGCCCTACTGGAATATGAGGGAGTATGCAAAGGATTTCCTTGTAAGAGTCCATCAATACCTCTTTCTGGTTTGGCAACTGGTGGTTTTAATATAGGCATCCCATTAGTTTCAGTAACTGGCGCTGGAGAATGTGGAATTTCAGACTTAGGACTAGAAAGGTAAGTTCTTAATTCAGATATTGGTGTCTTAGAATTTTCCCTATTGATTTTTTCCTGTTCCTTTAGTCTTTTTCCAGACAGTAGAAGTGAATCAGAGCCAAAGAAAGATTTTTTGTCCTGAGAAATACATGTTCTTTTCTGCTGCTGCTTTCTTCTCCCTGACAGCTTATTCTGTCTTTTTTCACCACCAGGGGCATTGGCCCTGTAGGGAAAATGTTCTTGGATACCATCTGTTCTTTGTAGATGGAGTTCTTCCACTGGGCTATCTCCTCCAAGGTGAAAGGACTCAGGCTTAATATCAAGTGTGATACATGTCTTTTCTCCAGTTTCTTCATCAAGATGGGTGTTGACTTGTAAGTTGTCACATGGAGATACTTTATTTTTAGGTTCTGAGGAGGAAACAAAAAACACATAAACAGTATTTTCCTTTCAAAAGGAAACAAATACTCCAAATTTATTTCAAATATGGTGTATCATTCAGGCAGATCATTAATAAGCTAATTAACTATGGAAATTTTAATTTTAAGTAAACCAACAAAATAGATTTGCAATGAAAAAGATGTCTTTTTAAACTAAGGATAACTGATTGTTTATTATAATCATCTTTTCATTTTAAAATCTCACCTAATTGTTTTATACCCACCCATCTTTGTTTGGTTCATGTAACTTTCATACCATTTCCCTACTACAATGGCTTCCAATTTTATAATGATGAATGATCTGACTTTTAATACCAGAATTGATCATTGTGTTTCAGAGTATTTCCATCCAGACCTTTCTTTCTAATATTTGAGTAATTAAGTAAAAGTTTCAAAAGCTAAGAGCAACTACATAAACAATACAACTGAAAGTATAAAGACTCAGAGAATGGGAGAAAATATTTACAAATCATATATCTGAATAAGAGTCTCATATATCCAGAATATATGATGCACTCAGCAATAAAAAGATAACCCAGTTTTTAAAAGGGCAAAGGACTTGAATAGACATTTCTTTAAAGAAGGTATACAAATGGCTAATAAGCACATGAATAATATTAGTCATGGTTGTTGTTATGTGCTGTGGAGTCGGTTCCGACTCATAGCGACCCTATACAGGGTTTCTGTGGCTGTAAATCTTTACGGGAGCAGAAAGCCTCATCTTTCTCCCATGAAACAGCTGGCAGTTTAACTGGAAATCAAATCACAATAAGCTACCACTTCACATCTAAGAAGATGGCTACATTAAAAAATAAAACAAAACTAGAAAATAACAAGTACTGTCGTGAAAAAGACACGGAGAAATGTTAACTGTTATACGTTGCTTAAAGGAATGTAAAATAGTACAGCCATCTTGGGAAATAGTTGCCAGTTCCTTGAAATCAAACCTAAACATAGCTATGACCCAGCAATTCCACTGCTATATAACACCCAAGTGAATCGAAAACCTAAGTCCACACAAAAACAAGTACACAACTGTTCAAAATAGAGTAACAGTCAAAGTAGAAACAACGCAAGACCAATGCCTTACTGCAAATAACTTTTCAAGAACATAAATGATGACTATACGTATAGACCTTACCAGATGGAATACACAGGTATCAAATTGACTCTATGTGAGGAGAGGAGTACTGCTGTGGCATTGTAGGTTAATGCTCTAGACTGCAAAGTTGGTTTGAACCGCAAGGGTGGCAGTTCAAGTTCACCAGCTGCTCCTTGGAAACCCTATACAAGGTTGCTATGGGTCGGAAACGACTCGATGGCATTTAACAACAACAATCAATGATGGGAAGAGAAGAGGGAGAGCTTACTATCTATCATAAGGGGTGGGGACAGCCAGGGAGCAGACCATTACTTGCTTATATGCAAGTTCAGCATGAATCTCAACAACAGTAAACAAGTTCACGAGAGCTAAAATACTACCTAGAGAATATCTCACTTGAATTTAGGGACCATTTCAGGAACAGATGTGACACATTCAACACTAATGACCGAAGACCAGAGTTGTGAAATGACAAAAAAAAACTTCATACATGAAGAAAGCAAAAGGTCATTAAAAAGATAGGAAAGAAACAAAAGTAAAAAATGCAGAAGCTAAAGTGAATGGAAAAACGAGGAAGTCAAAGGGCAGAACAGAAAATCTGAAAGGGCAATTCGAGAAGACAGAGTCAATTATTATAATGAATTGTGCAAAGATTTGGAATTATAATACTAAAAGGGAAGAACACGCTCAGCATTTCTCAAGCTGAAAGAACTGAAGAAAAAATTCAAGACTCAACATGAAATATTTAAGGATCCCATGGTCAAAACCACCACTTGTCTGTCAGTTTGTCGTACTGTGGTGGCTTGTGAGTTGCTGTGATTCTGGAAGCTATGCCACGGGTATTTTAAATACCAGCAGGGTCACCCATGGTGGACAGGTTTCAGATGAGCTCCCAGACAAAGACAAATTAGGAAGAAAGAGTGACAAGCTACTTCCGAATATTTAGTCACTGAAAACCTTATGAATAGCAGAGAAACACTGTCAGATACAGTGCCAGAAAATGAGTCCCTCAGGTTGGAAGGCACTCAAATGCAACTGGGGAAGAGCTGCCTCCTCGAAGTAGAGTTGACTGTGATGAAGCAAATGGAGTAAAGCCCGTGGGAGAAAAGCCCACGGGACCTTCATTACTGATGGGGCACAACTCAAAATGAAGAGAAACAGCTGTAAACATCCACTGAAATTTGGAACATGGAATGTATGAAATATGAATCTGGGAAAATTGGAAGTTGTCTAAATGAAATGGAATGCATAAACATTGATATCTTAGGCATTAGTGAGCTGAAATGGACTGGTATTGGCCATTTTGAATCTGACAACCACATGGTTTACTATGCTGGGAATAACAAATTGAAGAGATATGGTGTTGCATTCATTGTCAAAAAGAACATATCCAGATCAGTCATGAGGTACAACGCTGTCTGTGAGAGGATAATATCCATGCACCTACAGGGAAGCCCAGTTAATACCACCATTATTCAAATTTATGCACCAACCACTAAAGCCAGTGAGGATGAGACAGAAGAATTCTATCAACTTCTTCAATCTGAAATTGATCAAACATGCAATCAAGATGTATTGATCATTACTGGTGATTGAAATTAAAAGGTTGGGAGCAAACAGGAAGGATCAGTAGTTGGAAAATATGGCCTTAGTGATAGAAATGATGCTGGAGAACGCAAGCTAGAGGTGGAGGGTCAAAGAAAAAGAGGAAAACCCCCAACGAGATGGACTGGCCAAGTGGCAGCATTGATGGACTCAAGCATGGCAACAGTAGTGAGGTTGGCCCAGGATCGGGCAGTGCTTCATTCTGCTGTGCATAAGGTCGCTATGGGTAGGTACCAACTCAATGGCACCTAACAACAACAATGCTCAAAACATTAAATGATGCAGAAAGCATCAAAAGAAGATGGACAAGGGAGAAGAATGGAGTGCGGGACCCTATCCAGAGAAGCAGTGACAGGAGAAATGGAGGCAGAGATGATGTCATGGAGAGATGGAGCTGCTAGGGACTCTGGACTCAGGCAGGGAGAGGGGCTGTGTGCTGGCAGTTGTGGGGCAGGCTTGCAGGCTGTACTCTTTGGTTGTTTGAATGGTTATATATTCCTGAGTGCTTCGGTGTACATCCAAACAAACAAACAAAGCAAATCTGTTGAATGATGATGCATGGAGGAGATTGTAATCATTGCAATGAAACGAAATACAATAGGATGAATGTAAAGCTGATGCTCTCCCATGTAAACTCTCACCCAATTCACAATAAAAACTTAAAAAAAAAGAAGATGGAAGACATATATAGAGTCATTGTACCCAAAAGAATTGGTTGATAGTCAACCATTTCAGGAGGTAGCATGTGATCAAGAGCCCATGATACTGAAGCACGAAGTCCAAGCTGCACTGAAGGCATTACGAAAGACAAGGAACTGATGGAATACAAATGGAAATCTCTGAACACACTGATGCAGCACTGGAAGTACTCACTAGTCTATGCCAAGAAATTTGGAAAACAGCTACCTGCAAGAGAGGCATTATTTGTTTCCATTCTAGAGAAAGGTAAACCAACAGAATGTGGAAATTATTTAACAATATCATTAATATCAACACACAAGTAAAATCTTGCTTAAGATAATTCAAAAACAGTTGTTTTTTTTAAAAAAAGAAACAACAACAAAAAAAACCCAGTTGTAGCAGTGTGTACACAGGGAGCTACCAGATCCAGAAGATGTGGAAGAAGGGCTCTAGACGTTACATGGATCTTGGCTGAAAGCAGAGAATGCCAGAAGAATGTCTATTTGTGTTTTCTTGATATGCAAAGGTATTCAGCTGTGTGAATCATAACAAAGTGTGAACTGACACTGTAAAGAACAGGAATCCCAGAATACTTTAATTGTCCTCATTTTGAATCTGTACTTATACCAACAGGCAGTTGTACAAACAGAACCAGGGAATACTGAATGGTTTAAAATCAGGTAAGGTGTGTGTCAGGGCTGTGTCTTGCCCCATCTAGTCAATCTGTATGATGAGCAAATAATCTGAGAAGCTGGACTGTATGAAGAAGAAAGTGGCATCAGGATTGGCATCATTAACAACCTAGGATATGCAGATGATATAACTTTGCTTGCTAAAAAAGAAGGGAACTTTAGGCACTTACTAATGATGATCAAAGACTACAGCCTTCAGTTGAATTACAACTCAATGTAAAGAAAAGAAAAACCCTCATAACTGGACCAATAAACAGCATCATGACAAAGAGAGAAAAGACAGAAATTATCAGAGATTTCATGTTACCAAAATTAAAGCTCGTGGATGCAGCAGCTAAGAAATCAAACTAGGTATTGCACTGGGCAAATCTGCTGCAAAAGACCTCTTTAAAGTATTAAAGTGCAAAGATGCCAGTTTGAGGATGGAGGTGTGCCTAACCCAAGCCATATTTTCAATTGCCTCATATGAACATGAAACTTGGACAATGAATAAGCAAAACAGGAGAAGAACTGATCTGGATTCTAGTGACTGAGCATTTTGAAAGCACCATGGACTGCCAGAACACACAAATCTGTCTTGGAAGAAGAAGAACCAGAAAGTTTCTTAGACTGAAGATGCAGAGACTTTGTCTCACATACTTTAAACATGTGATCAGGAGGGACCGGTGCCTAGAGAAGGACATTATGTTTGGTAAAGTGGAGGGTCAGCGAAAAAGACGAAAACCCCCAATGAGATGGGCGGACACAGTGGCTGCCACACTGGACTCAGACCTAACAAGCACTGTGGGGATACTGCAGGACCAGGCAGTATTCTGTACTGTGGATGACTGAACTGTGTATGAATTGGAGGAGCCACTAGACTGCTAACCAGAGGTCGGCAGTTCAAATCCATCAGCTTCTCCTCAGAAACCTTTTACAGGGTTGTTATGGGGCTGCTGGAGTCCTGGTGTGGCACTGTAGTATCAGCACTGGACTGCTAATCATACGTTTGGTGGTTCAAACCTACCAGCTGCTCCCTGGAAACACCATACAGGGTCATATGAGTAGGAACCGACTTGAAGACACTTAACAACAACAACAACAAATGGGGCTGCTATTCTGGCTGCAAGGTCAGAAGTTTATATCTACCAGTCACTTCATGGGGAATGAGGCTTTCTGCTCCCATAAAGATTTACAGCTTTGGAAACCCCAGGCAGGGTCACTATGGGTTGAAACCAACTCGATGGCACTTAACAACAACAAAGCTGCCTTATTAACAAAGACAACGTATTCCCAGATGGGATGATAACCACACACACACGGAGGTTATGTTTTTAGCAGACATAATTCAACCCTTAACAACTTTAAAAGTGTGGTGTTTATGGTGTGTGAAGTCCTGATGTGGCACTGAGCCTAAATGCACAAGACAGCAAGATGGATGGATGTGAACTGCACGGTTGGTGACTCAAAATTACCAGTTACTCCTCACAGGGCCACCATGAGTCAAAACCGGCTCAATGGCACTTAACAATAACATACATCTTAATATCAACAAATCACATCTTTATATATATAAATTCTACTGATTGACCTTATGTTCTATTCTTGGAAAAAGAAATGCAGTAAAATATAATTGGCAAATGAATAATAAAGCAAACATGAGCTAACTTTACCTGAGCAGTTTGGCAACGGTGAAACTTCCTGCTGGAGCAAACAATTTTCTTCTACTGTTTTCTTAATAGAATTCTTAACCTTCTCAGCTCTCTGGGCACGCTACAAAAAACATAAGCAGCTCAAAGGATACATTTAAGAAAAATGAATAAGCTTTTGATAATGAAGAACTGTTTCAATAAAGTTTGTAATACAAAAGTCTAATTTGAAAGAACTGAACGTTTCACTTACCTGAAGGCGGGCCAATGTCTTACTGTATTCCCTTTTCAAGAATGCTAGTTTCTCTTTCAACTGGAAGAAAGATACCAAACAATACTGAGCAGGAGAAAAGATAAGTCAGCAGGAGGGAACACAGTGCCCCCTAGACACGAGTGTAGGAGTGTGTAGTGTTGAACAAGGTCCCTCTGCTAGAGGCAGTGGAGGGATCAACTTTGTTCTCAGAAAACACAGAACTCTCTCAGGACTTTTCCACACCATTTCAATAGCCTGGGGAATCTCCTGCCCAATTTCTCTTTCTAATCGTACTGATTTTAGATTTTTCTTTCCCTGGTCTTTCTGCCAATCCTGGTTAAATATCCAAGCCTCCTCTGTGCTTTACCTAGCATAGTATTTAAAACAAACACGGTGCTGTTTTCTTGTTTCCCCACCTCACTGTGAGACTCCTAAAGCATGACTTACATAAAGTTTCTTCCAGGGTCGGTTATGGTCAACAAAGTAAAACCAGAACAGACTAGAATTTGCAAAATGTGGAGCGATAACTAGGAGAGGAAAAATTACGGGTTGATTAAAACTTAATCTCCCTCAGGCGGCATAAGTGTTGCATTGTAACCAAACCTCTTGACTGACGGAGATGGAAGCAGTTGGTCCTGGCTGAACGATGGCGTTGGCCATGATGTTTGGCATGTGCATCACTGTCCAGTACCATGCATCAGGTTCCTCAAAGTGTTCCCCAAGCCTCTGTAGACTCTCCTATCCCAGGGCTTTGACCAGTAACTTTTCTTTTTCCAGTACCTCTACATTTTACAAATTTGGGTAGGCTCTGATTTTGCTGCCATGACTATGAACTCAAACAGGTTTGATGCCTCGCACTGAAGACAGCAGAAGCAGTCATCCTCAGATTCACTCAACAGATCAATCTCTGCCAGTTTTTGTTCCAGATATCTCTAGACCTTGAAACAATTTACTGACATTTATTATTAGTCAGAACCGACTCAACGGCACTTAACAACAACAACAACAATTATTAGCGTAATGGTTATGAGTTGGGCTGCGAACCGCAAGGTCAGCAGTTCGAAACTACCAGCTGCTCCGTGGGAGAAAGATGAGGCATTTTGCTCCCGTAATGATTTACAGTCTCGGAAACCCTGTACAGGGAAACTATGAGTCGGAACCGACTCCATGGCACATAACCACCACCATTACGTACAAGGAGTCCTGATGTGGCATTGTGGGTTGAGCCATTTGAACTGCAAGGTCGGCGGTTCAAGCTCACCAGCTGCTCCTCAGAAACCCTATACAGGGTCACTATGGGTCGGAACTGACTCAATGGCACTTAACAACAACAATTATGTACAAATTATTGCTCCAGGTGCTAGAGATACAGGGTGGTCACAGCTCTGGCAGTTTAAAGATAGTAAAGGACACAGATAAGAAATAAGAAGGCAAAATGAGATGATATCACATGGTGACAAATAGCAAGATAAAAAAGGTGATGGGGTGTGTCTGAGCTGCAGGGAATGGACCACTTTAGATAGGGTGGCCAGGAAGGTATCTCTGAGGAAAATCTAGAGAAAGAGGGAAAGGTATTCCAGGCAGAGTTAACCACAAACATAAAAGTCTCATGGTAGGATTGTTGTTGTTGTGATGTGCCGAGGAGTCGGTTTCCGACTCATGGTGACCCTGCACAGGTTTTCCGAGACTGTAAATCTTTCTGGGAGCAGAAAGTCTCATCTTTCTCCCGCAGAACAGCTGGTAGTTTCGAACTGCTAACCTTGAGGTTAGCAGCCCGATTCATAACTACTACGCTACCAGAGCTCCTTTTCATGGGCTACATCTATTTCAGAAACGTGCAGAAGGCAGGTGAAGTTTCAGTTTTTACTGCTGAGTTCCCAGTCAGGCATACAATGGACAGGAAGCACATACTTAATAAATAAATACAGGAGCAAACAGGGTTGAGTACAATTACTAATCTGAACATTTTGATTCCCTTTGTCACTCTGATTTCTGAAGTTCAAGGAGTTCTTTCAGCAGCAAAGCTACCCTCCCTTTATATTTTTTTAAATAAAATATAAAAGGGACCAAGAGTCTCTTTTGAAGGAACTAGTTCTTTAGCCAATAAAATGTCACCAGAATTTCTATCCTATCTGCCTTTAAAGAAAGAAAGATGAAATCTACCACCTGCAAAATATGTTTGCTGCGAGGCAAGTTATCAACGGTGTGAATTTCAGCAAGTTAATTCTTCCGTTTTCACATTAACCACAGTTACTTATTCTCAGTTATACAATTCTAATACCTGGCACCTTTATACGTGCTTCGATACCATGCCATTTTACACATACTAAAACAAACAGGGATCGATTACACAATTTGTTCAAGGTCATTTTTATACAACGCCAAGATTCTAACTGATGGAGTTGGGCTCTTAACCTCTATCCTAAGAATTTCTCGCAGGACCTTGTTAACGTCATGAAACTTATCAATATCTGGTCTTATCTTGTTAGTTGCAAACGATCTGTTTGCAACAAAAGGTTGATGAGTTAGTTCATGTGAAACAATAGGAAAATGAAAGTTGCAGGACCATTCGAATATCATATCCCGTCTCCAAAATCTACATCTTACTTTACTTTTTTTGGGGGGTGGGGGTGGGGGTTGGAAAGTACAACCACGCCACCACTCCCAAGACACGAAAACCCTGGAAATACCAGACTATTAAACAGATTTGCTTGTGAGTGGGGAGGAAACAAGATGGAAACTGTGTGCATGTGTGCTTGTGGAGGGAAGGGACTATCAAAGGGGACTTTACCTTAAAAAAGTTTTACATTTTGTATTTATGCATTGCTGCTAACAATGGTGAAAATTTGTTATTTAAATCCTGAGGGGAGGGCAGGTCCGAGGACACTGCTAAGGCTCGGACTGCAGAGAAAACAGACGCAGGTCTCAGAACCTAAGAAGGGGTGGAGGGTCAAAATCCATTTTCTGCCCTTCCCTCACCCCGGCACCTTTTCCTTCTCTTCACAGCTGAGGGGTTTTCCGGGAGGTTCTTCCATCGGGCCGGCGGCCAAAGGAAAGCAGTAGCGATCGCCGGGCCCGGGTCTATGGATACCAGGACCCCGGGTGGCTCCGGGCCCCTAAGGTGCCAGGCGAAGGAATGCAGGCCTGGGATGCCCCAGCGCGCGGCCAGCTGGTCCACACGAGCTTGGCGCGCCCTCAACCAAGCCAATGAAAGCCACCGCTCGGCCTACTCATGCGCAGATGGCAACTGCCGAGCTATAGAGTGAGGCCACTTAGAGGATGACCGAGCTGTGGATGAGCCCTCTTAGAGCGGAAGTGGAGGTACAGCCGGAAGTAGTTCTGAAACCCAGGCAGGCCGAGTTTGACAAGAGCCGGAGCTGCAGAAGGTGTCTGGCCATGGAGTTGGGCGAATTGCTCTACAACAAGTCCGAGTACATCGAAACGGTGCGCGTGTCCAGACATATGCCCTCCCCTTGCCAAGTCTGCGTCCCTTTGAGGCTTGGCCAGTGTCCCCATTTAGTCCCAGCCCCACCCTGGGTCCCTGGGGCAGCTAGTCTGAAATTACCTAGTGACGTTTTGTGTATGGCCTGGCTTTACTATTTATACCTTGCACGGGCAGTTCATGCTATTTGTGTTTATTCCTTTTCGTTCTAAGAGATGAAGTACCTTTTGGAAGGCAGGACTGCGACCCATCCATCGGAATATCTAGTCGCAGCTCCAGGCTTCCGGCCTGTCTAGTTTTAAACATTAACGTGTCTTAATCTGTTACTGTCTGCTAAAGACTATTAGATTCTTTATTGTCCGTATATCATATACGTGTAAAGTGTTTGAAACTTAAGTGTTCAGTCGGTGTTACTGTTTTCTTTATATTGAAGGCTCACAACTCCATAAGATTGGTGCAATCAATGTCCTCATTTTAGGCGGATAGAAACAACGTATAGAACTACAGTTTGAATCCATAGCTTTCTCTGATGCCAGTAAGCCATAGGACTCCTGGTGTGGCTCTGTAGGATCAGCACTGGACTGCGGACCACAAGGGCTAAGGTTCAAACTCACCAGCTCGGAAACTACAGGATCGCTATGAGTTGGAATCGGCTCATCGGCACTTAATAACACCACCACCACAGCTATAGATCGACTAATTCTGAATCTATTCAGTGGACCCCTAGTTTCTTAATCCATCTGCTTTTTTGCTATCGGGGCTACTTTCATGTAGAATACCTCTCATTTCGGAGTTCTGATGTGGCGCTGCAGGATAATGCGCTGGGCTGCAAGGCCGGTTCAAACTCACCAGCCGTTCCTCGAAAACCCTCTATCAGGTCGCTGAGAGTAGGAACTGACTAGATGAGGCTTAACACCAATAACGACTCATTTCACATTTTTCTTTCTCCATTATGAGCTTTCTTGATGGAAACCAGCAGTCTTGAACCCACTCAGTTTGCTCACCCATCTTTCTGCTGTCTTTTTCAGGCGTCTGGGAACAAAGTTAGTCGGCAGTCAGTGCTGTGTGGAAGCCAGAACATTGTCCTCAATGGCAAGGTAAGGGACAAAGCCAAGTTGAGAACTCACACCTTTGCTTTTTTCCCCACTAAGTAGTACTTTAGTGGAATCCTGGTGTGGTGCTGTAGGGTAGGTGTAGGACCTGATCGTTGATTTGAACCACAAGGTCAGCGGTTCAAACTCACCAGTTGCGTCTCTGAAACCCTATTCAGGGTTGTTATGGGTTGGAACTGATTCCAGGACACTCAGCAACAACAGTATCACTTTAGTGGAACAGATACAATGTTGCCATTTCTCCTGTTGTACATTTAAAATGTCTCTTTTTAAAAAGATGCTTTATTGATGATATGTGGTGTGCTCAAAGGAGTCTGTGTGACATTACATCAAAAGTGTGTGTGACATATATATTGTAAGTATAAAAACAAAAGATATATTCATTGACTCACCACCCTGCTGAAGAAGAGTATAGTAACAAATTATCAATACAAGCAGCCCCTGATTTACAGTGTATTGTAATGATGGCAAACCACCTTTATGACAATCTCTTCCTTTCATTTTGACACACTATTGCCTGTTTTGAATGTGATTTCTCTTTCTCAACTCCACCCATGTATGATGTGATACCAGGATTTGAGTGCTAAATTCTTCTAAATTCTTCCTAAATTTCTTTAGATTCTTGCAATGTCATGTACTTCTTATATTTTTATGCTTTGCTTTCTTTGACTACAGTGTAATTTAGGTAGATTGAGTGACTTATATTTTGGGCTTTTCCTATTTACAGTTTAAGATTGTAGTCTCTACTTAAATTAAAAAACAAAACAAAACTACAATTGCCAAATATTCAGAACACTTGGAATTATGTTCAAAAGTAAAGGAAATCACTTTCTCTGATTATAAATAGAAGCATAAAACTGAAAACAGTGATTAAGGATCTCAGATGAAAGAAGTTCATCTTAGAAATAGACATCTGTTGTGCCGGGTGCAGATGTTTCAGATGCTCATCTGCTAATAGAAAGGCTTGAATCCATCCAGTGTCCTTAAGACAGAGGCCTGTCAGTCTAAGTCTGAAAAACCAGAAGGTGATTTTTCAAAATTGCAAACCTGTCCAG